CCAGGACACTTTCCTGAGTTGGGCACTGAGTTATAGTGTTTCCTGCAAACAAGCTGTTGATTGATTTGGAGAAAAATCCATTTCTACGAGCGCCTTATCTCGGCTCTGCTATCACTAACTCTGCATACCACCTGGGCAGCTAAGAAGAATCTTTAACCGACATTGATGAGAAACGTCACGGTGGCTGACAGAAGCGGAGGCCCAGCAGGAGCCAAGCTGTTCAGGGACCCACGGCCCAGTGACTCCATGCAGGGTTCAGATGCCAGGCACACACTGTCTCTTGGCACCAGCGAGTGTCTCCTGCCACTCTTAACTTCCCCCGAAGGCCCCACACACACACTGTTTTGTTTTTCTTGGTAGAAACTATGACTGATACTTTCCAATAACAACTAAAAAGAAAAGGTTGAAGAGACAGAGTGAGAACTCAATGGGCCAAGACCTTATGCTTTGTGTGCAAGAGGCCCAGATTGGATCCCTGTGTCACATATGGTCCCCCAAGCACTTCCAGGAGTGAACACAGATGAGTGTGGGCTGGGTGTAAACTACAGCATAAGGGCTTAAACTCGGGACCCCAACAGAGTTGCCATCCCAGCTTAGCTACCCGAAAACCAAGTGTGAGAAGATTACTTCCAGCACAAGGGTACCTGCTAAAGGGCATTCAGGAAGCCCTGAACAGTGATTGGCTATCCCGAGTGGCATTCAAGAAGGGAGGCAGAGGGGCTGGAGGGATAGTACATTTGGTAGAGTACTTGTCTTATACTCAGCTGACCAGGGCTCAATCTCTGGCACCCTATTTCGCCCCCTGAACCTCGCTACTGTGAGCCCTGAGCACAGATCCACCAATAAGGCCGGAGCACCACTGGATGTGTCCCGGCAAAAAGAAGGGAGGCAGAGAAGAGGATTACAACTTCTACCACATGCACCTCTGTATTATCTGAATTTGCTATTTTTTTTATTCAAAGTAAACAACACATCTGACTAGAAGAATATAAATCTCTTATCCAAATAACTAACAAGACAAAGACTTTTTCAATCCTAGCCAAACACTGAAAATTAAAAGTGCTGGGCAGAGGACATAACTCAATGGGCTGGAACAGAAACTCTGCGTGCAGAAGCCCAGGCACCACCAGGGAACAACCCACAGCACGGAGCAGGGAGTAGCCACTAAGCACCACCAGGCATGGCTCCCAAAACCAAAACCAAAATCTATATTGCCAATCCAAGGCTTAAAACCCACAAAAAAATTTTCTGCACTTACAAGAGAACACACACACACACACACACACACACACACACACACACACACACACACACACGGGGAAAGGGAATTTATAGTCTCTCTGTGCTGTACCCCACCGTCTCCAAATAGCAATTAAACAGTTTTTCCCTGCGACCCATGTTTGGTAATTGTAAGAAACTACAATTCCCAGAAGGCCTCTCGGCAGGAAGGGGGGCTAGAGGTAAAGTTGCCCGCTGCCACTCTGAGACCTTAGCCCCACCCAGCCAGCCCAGGCGACCAATCCAGAAGCAACGCTGAAGCCTGTTTGTGCCTGGACCAGGGTTCAAGAAACCTCCCCTTTCCGGTTCGCCAAGAGTGACTTGGAGACCTTCCTGAAGGCATGAGGAAGCTCGCTGAGGAATGAGCGGGCATTTGACAGTGATGTGAAACTTGGCAAGCTGACGGCCAGCTCTAGAATCCCGGAAGAATGACCCCAGCAACCACACCCAGGGTGGCCCCAAGGATGTCCCCAGCAGGATGTGCAGGGGATCAGAGGCCTAGGAAGGCGTTTCAGAAAGAAAAGGTCACCTTAGGAACTGATCTGGTTTGTCTTGGATTCAGTGTTCACACCAGAACTCCACCTCCTTCCCTTCCCAGTCTGAGAAGCGTCATGAAATGTACGCAGCATTTCAATTACTGTGTATGTGCTGATGTTCGCGGTGTTCAGCTCTATAGCCATGTCAAAGCTTTTTGCAATTTCCCCTCTTCTCTTTCCCTGTGAAAATTTAGGCCTTTCTGTGGTTAAGAAGACTTAAAAACTGGCTGGCCTAAGGCTGTAGTCTGGAGGATGAGACAACCTTTCCCTAGAAAAAGCTGCCTCATTGCATTCTGTTGGCTCTGATGCCCCAAGGCGTAACTTTTCTTTTTGCTTTTTGGGTCACACATGGCGAAACTTCGGGGTTATTCCTGTCTCTGCATTCAGGAATCACTCCTGTTGGAGCTCAACGAGATGTTGGGAATTGAACCTGGCTTGGCCATGTGCAAGGCAAAAGCCCTACCCGCTGAAATATCTATCGCTCTAGCCCCGCCAAGGTGTAACTTTAACACTTTTCGATTAATCTGGACCCCAGACCCTAGCTGGACAGTGCTGACCATTGGAGACTGTGCAGAAGAACCCAAGTCTAGCCTCCTTGATCTCCATTAGCAACAAAGAACACATTCACCATGACATTTCTCCCGACTCTGAACATGCCATATATGTTCGTTGTGTGCTCCTCAACAATGCATGCTCACCATTCTCTCATGAATGTGTATGAGTTTCCTGGAAAACTACTAGAATATGTATAAGCTGTTGTGTCACCCAGTCTCAACCGGAAATAAATCAGACCCCGACTCCCTCTCTTGGAAGCTGTTTTTCAGCCTGTGTGGTGGACATCCGTCCCAACTTAAGTTGGTTTTTGTTTGTTTGTTTGTTTGTTAGTTTACCAATAAAGTCCCCTTTTTTCTATTCAGTTGTCCCTGTGCTTTTTCAAGGACAACAGTGATGCACCTTCAAAGAAGCACATCAGAAAACACACCGGAAGCTACTCAAAATTAAACGCAGAGCTTATCACCCAAGCCAGCAATTTTCCTCCTAGGAATCTGCCAACAGCAACTGAAAGTATATGTTCATAAGTACAATTTAAAACTTAAACACAAATGTTCATGGCAGCATTTATTCTTAATAGCCCCCAGTGGGGAGAAAAAAAAATCTAAATGGCCATTGGTAAAAAGAGAAAAGGAAAGTATCCACACAATGAAATATTATTTAAATGGGGAGACGAAGTACTGATGCACCACATTAATGACCTTGGAAACTGTGCATAATGGAAAAAAAACAGATAGGAAAATTCACCTTTAGCGTTCCATGTACAGACTGATAAACAGGTTTCCAGGAGCTGGGAGAGAAGAATGAAAGTGACTTCTAACAGATGACTTATTTGGGGTGAAGGTAATAGTCTAGAATTCCGTAGGGGATGATGGCTAAATTACCATGAGATAATACTAAAAGTCATTAGCTTGTGTACTTTAGGTTCAAGTCCTGGCACCAAACACACACACACACACACACACACACACACACACACACACACAGCACATGAGCACATGGCTGGAGCCCCTAACAATCAGGCCTGCACCTCCAGGTCCAGAATCACCTAAATAGGTGCTCAAGACCAAAGGAATTAAAGACATTCTATTTGGGGGTGAGAAGAAAGTAGTAGTTCAAAGGACTGAAACCCTTATTCTTCTGGCAAAGACCTGGCTTCACCACCACCAGGACCCTTATACCTGAGATAAGATCCCCACCCTCGCCATACGCCACCAGATGTAACCCAAGGAAATAAAACCACTTTCAGGGCCAGGAGAGTACTAAAGCACCTGTCTTGCAAGCTGAAGGATTGTATTGTTTTGTTTTGTGTTGGGGGTCACACTCCCCTGTGCTCAGGGCTTACTCCTGCTGGTGCTTTGAGGACCCTATGCCCCCCTGAAGGCCACAGCTCAGCCATGTTTAAGGAAAATGACTTAACCCCTTAACCCCTGTACCAACTCTCCAACCAACAAGCAGAGGCTCTTGAGTGTAATCCCAGATGCTACTACACACACTGTGTTCCATTCATGTGCAAGATCTCTCTGCACCATAGCCAGGTGTGTGTGAGCATCAATTGTGCAATCCCCATAAGCCGAATGTGATCCCCATGCAGGCCGACTCCTGGCCACATCAGGAGAGAAGAGGGATGGGGATCCAATGAGCATCTTGATGGCACTTTCTAGCACCGGGTTTGCTTTTCCCCACCTGGGTTCAAATCCAGGCTCTTCTGGTAGGAACTGGGTGATCTTGGGTAATTACCTTGAGCTATAGTTACTATTATTATTTAATTATTCTTCTGCTCAGTTTCCTCGTAAAAGGTGGCGATAATATCTCTTGCCTCGCAGGGCAGTTACAGTGTAATGAGAAAATTCTGTGAAGTGTTTAGTTCAGAGCCCAGCAGTTTAGTTAAGTGTTCAAGAAATCAATGACCATTTTTGTCGAGAATACAAAGCAACGGGCAGAGAAATAACTCAGTGGGCTGTGTGTATGCTTTACAGGTGGAAACTCTTCAATCCCAGCACTGCATGCTTCCCTGAGCACTGCGGGGAGCCCTGTTGAGCATTGATCTAGGAAAAGCATCTGAGCACTTAATGCAAAGATCCCTGAGTGCAGTCAGGAGTAAGCCCAGAGCAGGGCAGGGTGGGTCCAAAACCCGAACAATAACAACAACAACAATAATAATCTCCGTTGCTTCCTCTCAATTGTGCTGCAAATGTCAAAGTTTTCTTTAAGAAGTAGACGGGTTTTTTGTTGTTGCAGCCGTGGGTTGGGTTTTTCGCTTTTGCTTGGGTTAGACTGGGCAACGCTGGCGCCCCCGACTCAGCTTCCGGAGCAGGGATGTAGGCGGTTCCTCGGGTGGTTCTGCGGGGAAGCCTGGGGCTCGGCTGGCGGAGCCCCACCCCTACCCCCGGGAAGCCCCCCGCGGCGGCGGGGCGCAGCTCCGGAGCACCCCGCGGACCGGGCGCGAGGGCGCCGTGACCTACCGCCGCCCGGGCACGCGCTCCGGCCCCGCCCCTCGGCCCTTCATTGAGAAACCCCCTCGGCGGTCACGTGAGAGGGGCCGCCCGCCCGTGACGTCAGGGCCCGGGGCCAATGGGCGCCTCTGTTTATGTCGGGGTCGTCGGAATATTCATGAGCCCGCGCCTCCCCCTCCCGGCTCGCCGCTCCGTCGCCCGCGCGCCGCCGGCCGAGCTTCGCGTCGGGAGCGCCGGGCCTGAGCGCGGGAGGCGGCGCGGCTGCGGCGCCGCGGGACGGCCGAGCCGGGGCTTTTGTGCGGCCGCGACCCCGCCGACGGCGCCCGCCTCGCGTCCCCCGCCCGGGACCGCCGCCGCCGGCCGTCGCGGGCGGCCGGATCCGCGTCCCGCCTCCGCGGCCCGAGGACATGCGGGAGAGAGAATGAGCCAGAGGGACACGCTGGTGCATCTGTTTGCTGGGGGGTACGGCCGGGCGGGGCGCCGAGGGGGCGCGCGGGGGTGCGGGAGGGCGCGGGCCGGGCGGCCGAGGGACCCGCGGGCGGCTGAGGGGACCTGGAGGGCGCGGCGGGCCCCGGCCGGGGCGGCTGAGGGCCCCCGGGGGCTTGGGGGGCGCGGGCCGGGGCGGCCAGGGGACCCCGGGGGCGGGGCTGCGGGCCGGGGCCCGGGCCCGGGGGCGCGGCGGGGAGCGCGAGCCCGGGACAAAATGGGCGCCGGGGCGGCCTCACGTCGCTCACGCCGCACCGCGGGCCCGGGCGGCGCGTTTCCGGGCCCCGAGGGCCGGCGCTGGGGGGCCCTTCCGGCCCGCGGCGGGCGGCCGGAGGGGGTCTCGGCGCCCGCGCTCGCGGCGGCGGGGTGTTCCCCGCGCGGGGTCCGGCCGGGGAGCGGCGCTGCCCGCGGCCGTGCGGGGGGAGGGGAGTCCGGCCCTCGCGCCCCCGCCGCGCCCTCCGGGGCGCGCGAAGGAGAAAGTGGGGTACGGGGGGCGCGTGTGTTGGGGGCGAGGTCAAAGCGCGGCGCAAGGCGAGGCGGCTCGAGACCTCCCCACACTTGCCTGGAGCCAGTTGAGGCTCCTTTAAGGGGGGGATTTAAGTGCGGGCCTTGGAAATCTCTTTGCAGAATCCTAGCAGTCTGGAGTTCTATGTAGCATCGTGGGGAGGCTTAGGGGGACAGACCTGGCAGTGAGGCTGGAGCCCCCCCTCCACGACCCCCCAGCGGTGGGACCCTGTAGCCCCCTCCTTTGTAAGTTGAATTGCCTTGGGCGGTAGATCGCTTTTATGAACGTCAGAGGGATGCCGTTCTCATCCAGGTCTTTCGGCGTCTGAGTCAGATGAGTTGGGCTCTGGTCTGGCAGTGAGTCCCCTCCCCCAATGGCGTTTTCCTGCACCCATTGTTGCCCCCCCCCTTGTTTTTTTTTTTTTTTTTGCACACCAGTTATATTATGGCCAGCTACTTTTGTGGCCAAAAAGCTGTTTTCTTTTTTAAATACTCGAAACCCAGTTTAAGCAAAGACTTATACCCGGTACATTTATCAATCGTTTTAGCAAAGTAAAATTTTCAAGAACAGTTGGCTAGGTATGGGTTCTCCGAAAGGTATCTTGCAAGGCAAAGAATCGGAATTTCCTCGTGTTGGTAGATCACATCTCAACTCTAGAAAGTTAGGAGACAGCACTTCTGCTTCAGGCAGCTGTTTGGATCGATTGAAAAATAGAAGGGGGCAGGGGAGAAACATTGGATTTAATTGCTTCGTCTGTAGCTTGAGGAACTTGGACTCTGATCTTTAAAGCCTGTTTCTAGCTCCCAACATTTCCATTATGCTTTCAAACAAATCATGCATGTCTTGTTTAAAGGGCACATGTATTTGAAGTGTTGCCTTGATTGCACTATAACTATCATAATCCACATATCCTGCCACTTTATTCTTACTAATAGTTTTAAAGGCCTTTTTAAAAAAGAAACAGGAATGGAGGCGGAGGAGATAAATTTTAGGGGTAGAGTGCCTATGTGTCTTGTAGGACTCCCTGCCCTGGATTTGGAGTGGGGGTAATTGACATTTGGCAGTATCTAAATAAATGAATTTAGGACTTGACTAACCCCCAACACACACACACACACACACACACACACACACCATGTGCTGTTTGGAGTTTTAAAATGAGGTGCTGATACATAGACCTCTTGCAAGATCAGTGCTTGCCCTTTAACTTGCTTCCCTTTATTCGCTTGGCTTTTCATTTATATTGAGGTTACATAGATCTTTTCACCCAAACATGGCTTGGCTTTTCTTTTAAGAGAAACCTTAGAGCTAGGAAAGATAGAAAATGATAGTCAGACTCCATCCTTTCAAAATATGGAAAAATACTGAGATGTGAAAAAATGGACCCAAGGTCAAACTGCTTATATGTCTGCAGAGTGAGTAATCTAAAGAATCTGCCAGCTCCTCTGGAAATAGGTGATAAGAACATTGTAGAAATGCAGAGAAGGTTGTGTTAGAAGCCTCCTTAATGGAAGAAGTCTAATTTTTCCTATCTAAATTGCTAGTGTAAGCAATCATTGTTAGGACATTCTTCATTGAAAGCTAAATTTCTGGGGCTGGTGAGATAGTACAGTGATAGTACAGAGATAATACATTCCTTGCATGTGATTAACCGGGGTATGACTCCTGGTCCCCCATGTAATCTCTCAGCCTTGTCAGGAGTGGACCCTCAGCTCAAAGCCACGAGTAAACCCTAAGGAATACCAGGTGTGTCCTTCCTAGCACCAGCATACACAGACACCCCCCAAAAAAAGGAATACAAAAAAAAACTCAATTTCTCAATTTTGTAAATTAGCAGTTAGGAACCAGATAGAGTTTTTACTAGCTCTGTGAATGGGGAATCACAAGGATCATTTGGATAAGTGATGGAAAAATCAGTGCATACTAAGAAACCAAGTAACCTTTTACTGTGGTCAAATCTTGGACCAAAACAATTTAGAGCCCTGAGTTTTCCTGACTATAGTAAGTGTAAGTATGAATATGTGTTTATCAGGATTCAACAATTTCTGTCTGGATAACTTTTTAGGCATGGATATGCGAAATGTCTAGCATTGGATCTTGGCTGAAGGTGACATTTATGTGCAGAACTTGGCTTTGTTGAAGGCAGCTTTTGGTCCCATTATGCTTTTGCCAGAGTTTGTAATCGGAGTTTAAATTTAAGGTCATCAGCTTAGTTTAAGGTCATCAACTTAGTGGACGAAGGCTGCCTGTGACCTGCAAAATGGAGGTTAATAAGGTTTTGTTTTAGCAGTACCTCTGTTGGTACTTTTTGTGTATCTGGAGATATAAGCAATGTGATTTAATATAAGTAATATTTGATTCTCCACTAGAATTACACATGGTCTATAGTTACTATATTGCATAGATCTGCCAAGTGACAGTTTGATTTCTTTTTACTTGAGAGGTTTCAAATTTTGTCTCACATGGGAGGGATATACTTTCAAGCATTTTGTTTTTTTCCTGTGTAGTAATGATAGTGAGAGCTTAGTAGAAATAATGAGAAATCTCACATTACCTAAGGAGCTGTGCATTTGATTCTAGAAGTGATCTGTCCAGTTACATATTAAAAGTTTTATTACTGGTTAATTCAATAAGAAATTCCCATTTGGATGTCTGATGTTTTGATTCCACAGAAGTTTGGTTATAATATTTCAGTTATTTCACCTGTTCTATAAGATCAGGGCAGAAATAGACTACTAAGAGTGGGATTAATAGGACCAGAGATACAGTACATCAAGTAAGATGCTTGCTTTGCACATGGTCGACCCAGGCTCAATTCACTGGCACCTCATATGGTCCCCCAATCCCCTCCAGGAGTGATCCCTGAGTTTTCACATGTGACCCCTCCCCCCCAAAAAAAAAAGTGAAACTAGTTTATTTCCACTTTACACTGCCTATTTTATTTCTGTAGTTTAAGCCTCATTTCCTTTTTACTTTCCTCCCCCACCCCCACCCCCCCATTCTTACTGATTGCAAAAATGAGGGAAGTAATACTGATTACACTATTCTGAAAAAACATTGTTTTCCTCTGAGTGGATTAATGTGGTACAGCATTGTGGTTTGGGGACCCTGGATGCTCTCCGGACCTTTTCTGACATTGAGAAATGAAAATTGTCTCATCCAGCTAGCTATGCAGAAACCTGTTCACTGAATTGACACTCTTGTCTGATATTGTCTGACGGGCTGATGCACTCTCTGATGGTATCTTAGTGTTCACTGGAGCTGTGGCATAGCAGTGCACATGGACCACGTGCTGAGGATTGAACCAGTATCAGCCACATTCTAGACTTTGACCCCTATACTCAGTCTGAAGTCTTGAAGCCACAGCGCTCTTACTCTTTAAAACAGTCAGCTTCAATTAGGGACCTCCTTGAAAATGCTGTAAGGTGCTTGTCAGGCACACTGTTACACTGTTGACCCGAGCTCCATCCCCGGCACCATAGATTGTCCCCCAAGCCCAGCTGTGAGTAAGCATGAAACACAGTTGTGACCCTCAAAGCAGCAACAATAAAGGAGTAGTGTTCTTGAAGCAATAAAAATGATTAATTTTTCTAAAACCTGACACTTGAGTACACATCTCAATTTCATATTCTCTGATAAAATGGAAAATGTCCAGAAAGTAATTGATACCAAAGTTGTTTGGCAGTTTCGATCTAAAGCTGAGTTAGCTTTTTTTCATGAAAATTATTCTTCTTGAAAGCTGATAGACTGGACTGGACTTTTCAGTCTTGAACATTTGGCAGACCGTTTCTCCAAATACGAGAGAAATGAACCTATTGCGTCAATGAAAGCTGATAGCATTGTTGGTATTTGATTATAAAGTTTTCTAGGAAAAGATTGAACTTATGAAATCTTGAAGGTCGAAATGGGCTTGATGGCATATAAGAAAACGTATCAACATTTGGAAGACCCATATCATGCAGTGATTATTTTCCAAATGACCGAAGTATGTTAGTGAAAGATTCAGAATGTAAGATAGACTAATAGAATCTTTTTCCATATTAATTGGAGGGGGGGGGGGGGCTCACACCTGGTTGTGATTGGGGGCCTGAAGCCAGTCCCAGTGGTGCTCATAGGCCAATGGGGCCATATCTGGAGGGACTAAAGGAGGTGGGGGTGGAAGGACTAGGCACAAGTGGAAAACTTGTTGGCACTTTTCAGATTGCAACTACACATTAGGAATCTCTCTTTTGTTCAGTTTTACTGTAGTATCAAATAGTATTATGAGGGGAGAAGTTGACTAAATAAGTAATATGATTATGATTAGAAAGTTTTCATGCCATGGGAAAAAAGTAGAGCAGTGTAAAAGGAGTACTGGGAGTGTGGGATAGTTCTAAATAGGAGGGTGATGGTGGGTCTGATCAAAGTCTGGGAGAGGTTAGCTCTTTGGAGGAAGCCAGTAAGGTAGGAGCAACTATAGTGTTTGGGTTTA